GAGATCATGACCTGAGCCGAAGTCGGACGCTCAACCGACTGAGCCACCCAGGCGCCCCCTTGTGTTTTATTTTTTATTCACTTACTTTTAAGTAAAGTCTACACCCAATGTGGGGCTCGAACTCACCACCCCAATACCAAGAGTCATACCAACTGAGCCAGTGGGGGCACCCCTGGATTATTCTTTAATAAGACTATTCAGATTTTACATTTTTGTGCATGCTTGCTTTGGTAAGTTGTGTTTTGCTAGGAGTTCGTCATCTGAATTTTCAAATTTCTGGGCACACGGTTGTTCACAATATCCTTTCATGATCATTGATATCTTTTTTTTTTATTTTTTTTAACATTTATTTATTTTTGAGAGAGAAAGAGACAGAGCATGAGCAGAAGTAGGGGCAGAGAGGGGCGCCTGGGTGGCGCAGTCGGTTAAGCGTCCGACTTCAGCCAGGTCGCGATCTCGCGGTCCGTGAGTTCGAGCCCCGCGTCGGGCTCTGGGCTGATGGCTCAGAGCCTGGAGCCTGTTTCCGATTCTGTGTCTCCCTCTCTCTCTGCTCCTCCCCCGTTCATGCTCTGTCTCTCTCTGTCCCAAAAATAAATAAAACGTTGAAAAAAAAATTTTTTAAGAAGTAGGGGCAGAGAGAGAGAGGGAGACAGAGAATCCAAAGCAGGCTTCAGACTCCGAGCTGAAGCACGGAGCCCGACGCAGGGCTCGAACTCATGAACCATGAGATCATGGCCTGAGCTGAAGTCGGACGCTTAACCGACTGAGCCACCCAGGCACCCCGATCATTGATATCTTAATGTAGGACTCTTCATAACGCCCCATGTTCATTCTTGGTATCTTTGTGAGTATTTTTGTACTGATTTCCATAGCCTTTAGCAAAACAGCTCATGTCTTTTTTTTATTGTGTATTTTTTATTTTATTAATTTCTGCTCTCATCTTTACTATTTCTTTCCTCATTTTTAACTTCTTGAGATGACATTAAAGGTGGTTGGCTTTAGGCTTTCTTCCTATCTGGGCCTGATATATCCTTTAATGCTACGGACAAATCCAATGGAAATTAGAAGATCATGAACAAATTTATGCCAACACGTTTGACAACGTAGAGAAGAATGGACCAATTTGGGGGGCGCCTGGTCAGTTCAGCATCCGACTCTTGATTTCCACTCAGGTCATGATCTCGCGGTTCGTGAGTTCAGGTCCCGCGTCGGGCTCTGCGCTGGCAGTGTGGAGCCTGTTTGGGACTCTCTTTCGCCCTCTCTGTCTGTCCCTTCTCCGGTTGTGCACACCCTCTCTCAAAATAAATAGATAAAAACAAAAAAACAAACTTAAAAAAAAAAAAGAATGGATGGATTCCTTGAGAAATACAACTTTCTGAGGTTGACCCAGGAAGAAATCTTAAAATATGAACCATGATATATCTGCTGAATAAACTAAGTGCATAGTTAACCTTCCTACCCAAAAACTCCAGCCCCATAGACTTCACTGGAGGATTCTACCACCTTCTTAAGGAAGGACGCACAACTTGCACAAAGTCCCTTCCTAGCATCTGTCTGGGCTTCTCTTTTCCTACCTAATCCCCTCCTCCACTGTCCTTTCTATTCCTCCTTTTCCCAGTGCACTTGACTCTCCGTGTTCACCTCCTCTGGATGCCCCCCCCCATCTCCTCCATACTCTGAGGGGCTGGAAGCACCATCCCTGAAGTCACCTAGCAGAGGTCATGTTTGCACGCCGTGTGGCCAGCCATTCCATTCTCCCCTCCCAGCCTCTGTTCCATGTTTGCCCTGAGAAGCACCGGGAAGGCTGAGACTGGATCCTGTTTGCCTTGGGAAGGTTCCTTAGCCCATCCTCATCCATAAAATAGGGGAGCTGGGGGATGGCGCCCACCGCATGAGGCTGGAATGAAGATTCAGGGAGGGAGAAATACAAGGAAAGTGTCTAACAGCTCCTGGCACATGGTAAGCGCCCACTGGAGAGTTTGGTTGTGATCTCATTAGTACCACATGTCCTAGGCGTGATCTGCCACGGAGGAAGGCGTCCCGCAGTTAGAACTCATTTGTCTTCGCGGAGGGCTCCGCCCCTCCTCTGCCTCCCCCAGGGATGGGGGGGGCGGGTCATGTGTCTGAACCTAATCCCTGCTAATTCCCAGCCATTCTGCTGAGGCTGGACCATCATAAGAAGATTGGAGCATTTGCTAAATTAGTCCGGTTCAGGGACAGAGGAGACAACCAGGGAGGGGCCCGGAGACCAGGAGGGCCGGGGTGGGGGGTGGGGGGGGAGAGGATGCAGACACATACCTGAGGGGACGGAGGAAGGAAGGATGAGGGAGGACCACAGTCGGAGGGGAGGGGAGAAAAGCCAGGGGGTCCCAGAGGGTCCAGCAAGATGAATATAAATCCCAGCCCTGCCTCTTCGTATTTGTGAGATCCTAGGCAGGTCGCCTGACCTCCCACTGCCTCGGTTTTCTCATCTGTGAAAGTGGGATGGTCACAGCACCGTCGGATACGAACAGCACCTCTCGCGTGGGTCATCTCTGAGAATTAAAAGAGTTTGGACTGGCTTTCTCCGGGGTCTGGCACATAGTGTGTGCTCAGTGGGTTTTTCCTTTTTGCTTCCAATTTATCGACGTCTCGTTTATATGGTATAAAATTGGCTCATTTTAACAGTACGGTTTGAGGCATTTGGACGATCACATAGAGTCATGGAACCACTACTCTTATCAAGACGTAGAATATTCCCCCGGGGCGCCTGGGTGGCTCAGTCGGTGAAGCGTCCGACTTCAGCTCAGGTCACGATGTCACAGTCCGTGAGTTCGAGCCCCGCGTCGGGCTCTGTGCT